CAAATATACAGCTTGTTAATTCACAACTTGGACAGCACTGGTCAGGTAAGCTCATCTGGTGTTCAACTGGACAATCAAGATCTGTGCATTCTTGAGTTTCACATCTCAAACTACCTCTCTGTAAATTTTCGATTAATTAAATTACATTCATATATTTATTTATATATTCATTGATATTTATTTATACATTAATTTTATTTTATTGATTATTTTTGTATTGGGCTCTGTGAGAGAACAGTAAATTTATTCGAAATAGATTACCTAGTAAAATGAATAAAGAAAAACAAAAATATATATTTCTCTTAAAGCACACGGCTCTGATCTTATGGGCTTATCTAAAAGGTTCAACTTGTCTAATAATTGGTTCAAATAAATCATCATCATCGCCTATCATCAACATTATCATCATCAACTCAGTCATCATCATCACTATTATCAACATCACCACCATTATATACATGACCATAACTACTATCATCTGCAGAATGATGATGGTGATGACGATGATGTCTGACATTCAAGCACTGCAACCAAAATGGCTGATTTCTTTTTTAGTATACTTACAGCACATGAACAAGTTGTGCACACATCCTGCTGAAATATTTGTCCATTCTGGTAAAAGATTCCATTCTCTTCACACTCGGTTGTTTCCAAGGATAGGGATTCTACACAGTACAACAATTTGCATGTAAAACATCCTTATTTCATCATAAAAACAACTGTTATATGAATATACTGATGACTATTGTCATTATACAGTATAGCACTATAAGAAATAACTACAGTATACATAACTATATATCAATTGCATTGATGATAACAATAATTAATAGAGATAAAAGTTGTGGTCATTATGGGTACATGCATGAGCCATACTTTACCTGGACACATTGGGCAACATGATGCAGGCTCAATGATCACTTCCTCTGAAGAACAAGTCAAAGCAGGACAGACAATAGGAAGGCACTCCATACTACCATCACGACACAGGCACTCCATACAGTCTGTGTTGTTGGGCTTGAAAATGACGTTCTCTTGATAAGTAACACCCTCATAATCACATCCTGGAAAAAAGGGAAGGAATAAAGAAGAGAATTATAGGAATTGAAAAAAAAAAAGTTCGATGACAACACACCGTGAGATGCCTCACTACACTGTATACAGCACAAACAAGCCAAATTATTGTCCATTTTTGTGCCAGGCCTCGGAACATGCATGCTTTGAAAATGGACTTGGCTGCGTCTTCAGAGAAGTAAAAACTATGTCAAAAGTATTTGCTACTATTCTGATGTTCATCATTTCATTGTTAAATTCAGGTCGCATAAGTCCAATAAAATCCCAGTTTGTTTTCTTAAAATCTAGGTAGCTAGATTAAGCGATAACACTTTCTTTGGTAGCTTCATATATGTGTTCTCTATATTCTGGGTTAGGGTGTTCATTTAATTTAAAAATGTCACTTAACTCACCATCACAAACTGGACAACACTGACCATCAGATGGCAAGGCATTGCCACATTGGAATGGACACTGCTGTTCTGTGCATACTGTTTTTCCATCCTAAAAGATCATAAAGATATTTACTTTTATTTCAGCCAAACATGAAATCCAAAAAATAATTTTCGAAGACTCTTACCAGGAACTCTGTCAATGGTGCAATAGTTATAAAATGGACTTAAACTATGACAATAGTAACTACAGTATATATGTGAAATGAGTAGAAATAAAGAGAATGAATCTTACAATGCACATGCAGGTTGTACAGGGTTCATCAGTCTTAATCCATGTTTGTCCATGTGTGTATTCATTTCCTCCAGTATCTGTACATATCGGGCACTGGTGGCAGCATTGTCCAGGAGGTTGAACAGTAACTGAGCAGCTAATCTCAGGGCATGTTTGTGCTCTACATTCAACGTTGCCATCCTATAATTAAAAAAAATAAATAAAACAATCATAGAATGAGGAGGCTCTAGAAAGGGGATAAAGCTGTCTAACAGGGTCTAAAAATTTCGAGTGGAAGACATGGGCCGCAGAGTCTATAAAGAACTTTTACTATTTTCTGCCATTTTTAAGTTTTGTGGGGTTTGTAACTACAAACACAAAGTAGTTAATATTTGGTCTAAAAAGTCCTGATCAAGGGGAGAAACCTTTGGCCTTTTTGACAGGTTGGAATCTTACCGACTCTCAGCCCACCCATCAGTGCCACCACTGTGTATGACAGAAAATTTAGGTTGTAAAATGAAATACAGTAAAACATCTTAATTTTATGGTTTGATTTGTTATGTTTTAGAACCGAACATCATTTTATTTGTTTATGTTAGCATGCATCTCTTGTATTAATACGAATTGATTGTGAGTTTATCTAATTTACTTACTATTTCATATTTATTTGATAAATTGTACTTTAGTATGTTTTACTGTTAGTATATTTGTTTTAATCTACACGATTGTGCTTGTAGAAAGTTTCTATAAGGACCAATAAATCTTGATTCAAAATTAAATAAGTTAACAAATGTTTGGCAGTTATTCTCACCCGGCAGCGACAATGAGCACACGGATCTGATGCAGGAACAAAGACTTCATTGTCATCATACATCATATTCTCATACATACACTTGGTACAATCAGGACAACACCGACCCTCGACCTTCACACCATTAGAACAGGATGGTTGTCGGCAGAAGATAGGTAGACAGTTAATTATGGTATCCTGTTAATGAGAGAATCAAAAAAATAATTAATGGTAGTAAGAATTTTTGTAATCACAACAATAATATCAACAACAGCAGAGCTCATAAACTGCACCAGTATTTCGGAATCTAGTTTAGTCATTAAAACATCAGTAAATATTAAACCATTTACAATGCTATTTTAAATTAATAATTCAACAATTCTATTTATTTACTTTCCCATTTTGCACATTAATGCTTGGGAAAACAAACTGGTATCTAAATCTATCCAAATCAAAAAATGGAATATCTTTTACATTAATGCAAGTTTTAACTTTTAAAATTTTAAGTTTTCCTTACAACCTTTTGTCATTCCAATCTTAATTTATGTTTATATATGTATGCCTGATATGGACCATGAGTCTGGAATATAGTTAATAGATTAATTCTAACTTCAAATTTTGCAGAAGGAAGGATGCTACTTACAATACATGTACATTCAGTGCAGGGATCATCCGGTGTTATCCATGATTCTCCACTAACTACTTCATGTCCATCCTCTTTCATGCAATGTGATTCTGGGAAAGAGAATACTTAAAATATTAGTAATAATAATTGAAAAAAATACTGCATAGTGTATATCATTAATATCATTAATAGGAAATAGAACACAATCGCTAAATGTTACAAAATTAACTTACCAGCACAACGAGGGCAGCATTCACCAGGGACTGTTGTTGTAACTTGGCATTTCAAAACTGGGCACTGTTCTCGTTCCATGCAAGTAACCGTTCCTTTCTGTATAAACACAAAGTAAATGTTACATTCCTACATCATAATACAGTATTACAGTATCAAATTGTTAGGAAGCTTTAAATTGCATAACGTTGAGTTCTCGTCACATGGATTGTAGGAAGCAATTAGCCTGAATCTATGTGGTGTAGAGAATGTAGGACAGTCATGCATGAGTGAATCCGTTCTAGTGTCGCATTGTCACGCTAACTGAACGCTCCCTACTATTAGATCATTTTAAAACATAATTTCTACCAATGAGGATTATGTGCTACTCATTTTGCTAAATAAGAAGATCCAAGCTCAAGTCTTCATCAGTAAGTTTGCATTAAAACTGAAAGAAGATATGGAAAGGTAAACTCACATTGCAAGTACACGTCCTGCAGGAATCAAGAGTAGGATTGAATATAGATCCATCCGGAATCACTTGTCCCTTATAAGAACAATCTTGACAGAGAGGGCAACATTCTCCTGATGGTTGGTATGGATGGGAGCAGACAGTATTACAACTGATCGGCTCACAGACAGATTCCCCTTCTAGACAGATGCACTGATCACAATGTTCATAGACAGAGCGGTACTGGTCGCCGGTATGGTAGCCACGACCATAATACATACACCCTTTAAAATATATGGAAAAAGTGAATGAGAAGTTGTCATACCTATCATATATTTCATATCATGTAATTATTTATTTAGTCCTAATCCCGCCATATACAAAAATCTAAAATCTCTAGGTCATCAGGGCTAACCATAGTTAGTAATCACGGTAACATTGTCAGTAGGTTCATATTTCAAATCACAAAATGCATCAACATGTAAACATTTCTTTTATAAAACAATTCTGAAAGTTACTTTTTTCTGTTAATCTTTAATGTTTAATCTATACAATTACTGAATTAGTTCTTACACATTTTAAATAAAGGGAATGTGATGTTTGTATCTTTGTTTGTGTTTGCAAGTACTTGGTAGAATTTCATTATAGCTTTAATTTCAAGCTGTTGATTCTGCCATTAGCATTAAGTGTGCTTTTACAAAAAAATTATTATTTTGGAAACATACCTTTACAGTCAGGACAGCACTCGCCTTCTATTGACACAGGATTATCACAATCTATATCGCACTGCTGCTCTGTACACTGAATACTGGTGTCATTCTGAAAGATAATTACAAAAATCAAGAGTGAACAAAATGGAACACCCCTAAAAAGAATAATAGAACATTCATTTCAGTGTCCTCATTTCAAATTGCTGTTGGGACAGCAAGTATGAATGTAGCATAATCAATTGAAATGTGTACACAATAATGGTACCAACAGAACTTACCATACAGGTACAAGTCCTGCATGGATCATCGTCTTGCCAGGTGGTACCAAACGTTTTAAGCCTGCCCTCAGTGTCCAAGCATCCAGGCAATACATCTGTACAGTCTGGACAGCATCGGCCAGGTAAATGCACTTTACGCCCATTCTCGCATGTTACATCTGGACATGTGCGTCTACTGCACCGAATAACTCCCTCCTGTTAAGAAATAAAACAGTTTCCTATTTATTAAACATGCACTAAAGACTTACAAGATTTTAACAGGGTGGCCAATGAGTCTATTAATGTGGTCTTATTTTCAAGAATGTATGATATCAGAATGGTTTGAAAAATACCACAGACAAATGAAAACTGATTATTTTCAAACTAGCTGATGATAATGATGATGATTATGATGACAATAATAATTAAATCACCAACAAATCATGCGGCTCTGTCTGCAGAAACCACGAAGCAAGGACACTTCTTTTCTTTTTTGTTCAAGAGGTAAGTTCCAAAGGAAACTTTGGCAGTTATCGGTTTATCCAGGTAAGTATTCACAAAATAGACGATGATGATGATGATGATGATGATGATGCTGATGATGATGATGCTGATGATGATGATGATGCTGATGATGATGATGATGATGATGATGATGATGCTGATGATGATGATGATGATGATGATGATGCTGATGATGCTGATGATGATGATGATGATGCTGATGATGATGATGATGATGATGATGCTGATGATGATGATGATGATGATGATGATGATGCTGATGATGATGATGATGATTATGATGCTGATGCTGATGATGATGATGATGATGATGCTGATGATGATGATGATGATGATGATGATGATGATGATGATGATGACAATAATGACAATTATGATTAGGGTATTTGAATAAAATGACAAACTTTAAATGGAATACATACATTGCATGTGCACACAGAGCACTTTTTATCAACAGGATCAAAGACTTCACCATCCTTGTACTCAATGCTATTGATGAAGCAGTTGTCTAAAAGTAAACACAACATCAGAATGAAAACAGGAAAATACAAAAGATACAAATAAACTAACATTAGCAATACACTAAAAATAAATATGTTAAATTATCTTTAAATCAATCTTTGAAAATTATCTCGACAGGGGTACCCTCAATTGGCTTACCTTCACATGTAAGACAGCACTTTCCTTCAGTTGGTTTGCTACATGTTACATTGGGACAGATCACTTCCGAGCATTCTACAGTACCATCCTGGGGCATAAATCAATGTTAAGTCAATATTCAAAATAATGTTAAAGCATTAAACAGATGTAGTAAAGCACTGGGCTTTCAATAGACTGGGTTCAGTCCCTAAACTTTGTCTTAATCAGTAAAAAAGCTGGAAAAATCGATTTTGGCACCAATGGCATTCCATATTACCTATTTGCTTGGCGTTTCATAGTATACTTTTTCTTGGATTTTTCCAATTCGCATCAAAAAAGTTTCTCAACATAAACTGACACTGGTGGTGCTTTCCAGAAAGTGCTAATACTACGAAAAATCAATAAATTAGAGACTTGTGGCAAGTCTAGGCTTTCAAGCAAAGGCTTGTAAAAAAAAAACATTGCGTATATAGGTGTAAATAGTTCTACTCTTCAACAATGTCCACACTATAAATTTTACATGACATCTATGATTTGCCATATGGGTATGATATGACCTCATAATGCCTATATATGGCCAAACCACAGATATCTGTCACACAAAAAAAAACTTATAAAAGATATTATTATAGCATAGATATTTGCATTGTTTTTTGTTCTTTTAGGTATAGACCACTTTATCGGGTTTATTTTGAAACAGCGGCGTCAAAGTCTCGCAACTCACTGGGAATCTTCCAGCGGCCTAGCAACCTGAGCAGGTACCTAGTGTCAAATAGACCACCACCCGCACACTGGTAACTATGCAGCACGAGAAGTGTGTAGGCCTCAGGAAGTCCTCCTGAGGTAGTTGCCAGGTTATCGGAAAATTTCAAATTTCGCCAAAATCATCTATAAATGAGGTCCAATTAGATTCGGGCAACATTTCTTAATCTTAATCTTCCTGATAAGACTTGAGAAAGCATTACCTTGCAGGAGCATTCGCTACACACATCATCTGGTGGTGTGAACACTGATTTATTGGGGATCAAGCTACCGGCAAATAGACAATCTGTAAAACAGAAACAAAATGTTGTAATTTCCTAACCCAAAAAAAAGAATGGAACAAAGAAACAAAGATCTTCACAAAGATTGTTGCTTACCATGACATTCTGGGCAGCAGTGTCCAGACACAGGATGGGTACAAGTTGTTAGAGGGCAAACCTGACGGTCACAGCGTACTACACTACTATTGCAACTGCATACCGAGCACGTGTCAACTTCGGGAGTCCAGGTCTCACCATGTTGGTACGTGTAATCATTCTGATGACATTCTGAAGAAGATGATCAACAATTTTAATAATATAATAAACTAGTTCCATGTTCCATTTAGCTAAATGTCCTTATTCTTTTGATGTTCCTTCTGTATCCATTTTGGGAACAAAGCAAATTAGTCAGAGTAAGCATTCACGAAATAGACTAACCATTATTATCTCCCTTCTTATATTTCATGCTTTAGAGTAAACATAATGTATTTCTTTTTTTATAATGCAAGTTTTTATCTCATTAGGAAGGTTTCAACCATTGCATCTATACTGCACATCTTTTTTCTCTTTGATATATTACTCACCTTGATTTTGCTTGCATGGTTTTTCTTCACAAATCGTTTTTCCTAAGTTGCAGTGACAAGATGTACATGCATCCATTTCCCACGTAGCATTGTGTCTGTAGAGTTGTCCTTCATACAAGCATCCTTGAAAGGAAAAACAAATATATACAATTTCTATATTATCATATTTATCATGATAAACCCAAACATTCAAAACATTGCCTTCAGCCCTGCGGGCTTCAGGCAATTTTTTCAGGAAATAAAGGCTCCTTTGGCCTCTATTTTCTATTTAGTCCTCTGAAATTGACTATAATTGCATATTATATCTACCACAGTTAGCTATATTGGTTCTAAGACAGTCCTACTGAGCATGAGCAGTAAATTTATATGTCACTGCATTGGACTGGACCTGCAATAAGATCCAAGCAAATATAATAATCCATTTAGTCGACTTATCCAGGTAAGTACTGTATTCACAAAATAGACTTTATTATTTCATCTTCAGAAATAAGAGGCATTAACTGTAGTCCATGAATGATTTGTTAATGACTAAAATTATTCATGAACTAACTTGAATACATGATTGACTAGCCCAGAACTAACTTCAAGAATATGGGGCTAAAAAATAACAGCAACCAAACTGATTGCTAATACCTTGAGGTACACAGGAATTGTCCTTGAGCAGCATGAGATAACCTGGTTTACAATAGCAAGAGTAAGAGCCAATGGTGTTCACACACATCTGGTCGCATCCATGGTCACCAGCACACTCATCTTTATCTGAAATTAACCACATTTAGATTTAGAATCTACAATATTTTTTTTATTAGTTGTTTTATTATATTTATTCGGTATAAATACTTAGAAAAAACAAAAATGCTGATGAACTCCAAGTTTACAATAGTTTACAAATATTAGGATAGGAAATTTTTAATAGCCAAACTTAACCCATTTCCCTTCTGGAACCACTTGGAAAAGGCCTTTTTAACATGTAACTTATGTCAATTTGTTTTCATCTAAAACAAGGTTGAAACATACCATACCGTAAATGCTCGAATAAGCGCCGCTTTTGAATAAGCGCAGCACCAATCCTGATTATTTTCGCTAAGCGGCGCTTAATTGAAGGTATATATTGCCCTGTGTGTAATGAAACACTTTAAGAAACAGTATTTTAAATACTGTGTATAGTGTTAAAATGAATAAATAACACAATGAAGACACAAGCATCTCTTTATACTGAAGCCGCCAAAAATTTTATAAGTGCCGCGGCGCTTATTCGACCATTTATGGTAAACCACCTGACAGCCCATTAACACTGCTAGTTGGGGTATCTAATTTTGGCCAGCCAACTCTCAACCAAATGCCAACCAGATACCTCTATGCCACACCAACTTTTCAACTAATTACTCACAGGATCTTACCTCTACAAACATTATCAGGTCCTTGCTCATAGCCTGCTGTGCAGCCACAATGGAAACTACCCAGAGTGTTGACACATTCACCAGGACAAATCTCAGAGTTGATCAAACACTCATTGATGTCTGATGAGAAAAAGAAAATCAAGCACTTTATACAATAAAACAAATCTTTTAAAATATATCATCATAAACTGTTAATTTTTTCATCATGAAAAATAATAGTTTGGTCTCACAACCTACTATTTTCATTCTGATTATTTATTTCTATAATGAAGAGGTTTTTCACTGCATTGAAGTAATTTTAAAAATGTCTTTTCAACACTGTTGATCATGGATGACTCTATTATCTTTTAGGGGTGTTTAGATTGGAGAGAGTATTGTCAGTGTATTCAATTAAATATTCAAGAAATCAATTCATACTAATTTACCTTCATCGCAAAATGGTCCACTGAAACCTGGTGGGCAGGTGCACACTCCATTAATACATTTACTGTTATTCTCGCATTCTGGATTGCATTGCTCTGAAAATACATACTTTCTTATTATTATTATTATTATTATTATTGTTGTTGCATATGTCACAATCAGAATGCAAGCATTATTAAAGATTGGATGTTCACTCTACTTGGCTGTGCCTTTTGAATAGAAGATTTAATCTATCACCTCATGAGATATTCTATCCCCCCTAATAAACATTCATTATTTGAATAGTACACGGTGACTTTTGACACAGCCAAGTTCAGTTAAAACAATTAAATGGTTTATAAATCAAATACAGCTGGAGAAAATTGGACTTAATTGAAAGTGGTCATTAAGCTGGTGTTCGGTACTTCATTGGTCATTTTAAATATTTGACTAACCTAAGGTCATTATCATTAACACTTAATACTGAATGGATAAATCATCTTCAAATATTACACCAAATATACCAACCTAGTTCACATGCAATTCCAGTGTATCCAAATGGGCAGAGACAGATGCCCTGCTGACAGGTTGCACCATTTTCACAATGTGGGTTACAAACACCATCCTCTGAAAAATATAATATCTTATTATTATGGTGTGTTCAGACTTAGCGATTTACATTTAAGAAAAAGAGAATGATTGTCATCATGATCATCTTTCTCTTTATCAACATAAAAATTGTCAACACCATCATCTTCTCTATTAAAATGATCAGACTCCTGATTATCATCAAAATCATTATAGTTGTGATAAAATGTTTAGAAGCTATAGTTACATAGGCATTCAGTTAAATCCTGCATAAATGCATTCCTGCTAAACCTTTCAAAAGCAGTTAGCCACAAACGTATTCTGTGATCTCACCTGCTAAAATATACAAATCAGCAGTGATGTTGGTAGTCTATGAGTGGGCACTTACCTAGATGAACTGACTAGCACCTAAATTTCCGAAAGTGTAACTAATAAATTGAATTAAAGTGCAGTTATGTAATGAACACATTACGTAACAATCCTCGTTCATCCAGGCAAGGCAAGACTTTTTTATACAGTACCTTCTTTAGCGAACACACCACCCACCAATAATGAGGTTTTCGGATTAAAATAAAATTTTATTTTTGGCCAATTAGCGCACCGTCGCCATGAAAAAATCTCCTAAAATAAGATATGTACACTCCTTCCAAATTATATAAATTTAAAGCATTTAACCATCCCATTACTACACTGTTTACATTCACACAAACAATTTTATTTTTATTTTCTCCTTTGTTTGGATGTTTTTCGCAGAACTATTTGCTAAATAAAAAATTTTTATTTTTGTTCGTTTTCCGCCCTCTTCCGATGACCTTACTGACGAAATTAGGTTCATGAAACAAGGTATAAGAGAAGTCTTGCCTAAAGTATTCACTAAATAGACTCATTTTAAAAGCTTGGTCAATCATAAGCTACTATTTTACTATGAGCATTATATAAAAACATTAGTATTCTATCTTGTAAGAAATACAAACAAAAACAAAATAAGTCTGCAACATTATCTGGCACACATTACCTGCAAGCTCACAGAGTTCACCAAAGTAGCCTGGAGGACAGCTACAAGCTCCATTCTCACAAACACCGTGGTTAATACACTGCTTAGTACATAGGAGGCCTACGATTGTGACGGGAAATAGCAATCATAACATGACAGACTACAACATGCAGTACAACTAAGCATTAAACTCTAGCAGACTATATTGGTAAATGTTTACACCATGCAAATTAAGACAGAAAACAAAAACTAAACAAAAAATAAGATAAAAGATACACTGTTTGACTAAGAATTTAAATATTGTTTGATAAATAGCAAGATTTTCTGGAATAATTTTTAGGCTACTGTAGAATTAAAATTTCAGCTGTATGGTTAAATCTAATGTGAAGAAAAGCCAATCATAAATTCATATATTATTTAATGAAGATGATAAAGATAATAATAACAATGAGAATAACAAAATATTTTTATTATTATTTATAAAAACAAATAATCAGCCGAATGGTTTAGTATGAAATATATTTACAATATAGAGTATAACGAATAGCAATAATAACGATAAGGATAACAAGAATAATATGAATAACAATAATATAATTATAATACAAATTACAAAAATAGTATAATAATAGTAATAATCAAAATAATCTTAATAATACAAATTACAACAACAAATAACAATAAGATTAACTGTAATATAAACATATATACAGTAAATCTTTAAAAAGTAGTAAATACAAGAAGTTATAAACTGCTTAAATCATATAGTACAGTACTTACTAAGGGACACTATGCGAATGGTCTTAGACAGAGGTCCTGCATTACATGTATATGTACCAACTTCTGCTTTGCTGAAGCCATTTATGACAAGGTTTGTTTCAAAATCAGTCAGTTGTTCCGAGTACACACGGTCGTCTTCACCAGCTGTAAATCACCAAATTACAATTACTGACAAAAATAACCTTTTAATTGTAAAAATCAATATAAAATTTCTTATTCTAATAAATAAATAATTACTAAATTAAACAAATATGGTCCTATATTAAAATCTCATATCATGCTTTAATCATGTTCACAGTAATTTTTCCTTCTTTCTGACTGTCATCTAGGAATTGTTTTACAAATATAATTAACATGAAGAAATAAGTAGACAGGAAATAAAACCTACCATTTTCTCTAGAGGGCAGCCTGCCAGATGGGCCTGTCCAGTAAGGATCCATAGGTGCGTCTGGTCCGACTGATTCACAGTTTATCAGTGTGTTGACCCCTTCAATAAGGTTGTGTTGTTCATCTGGGAAGATCACAAGCTGGGCAACACTCTCAACTGAAATTTTTTTTTAAATGATATCAATTTAATAAAATTCTTTTATTTAAAAAAAAAATTATTTATCATTTTGTCTTTTACTCATTTCAATTGTTCCGCCTTACCTTTATTCTGGCAGTAGACTCCTTCATAACCAAGTGGGCATATGCAAATTCCATTAAAGCATGTTCCTCCATTTCCACAGCTGGGCTGACAAACGCTCTCTTTAGAGTGCAAAGTCAAAGATTTGATAAGTGGAGGCAAGTTGGTGATTATAAAAAATTCTATTGTTCAATGGGATTGATTAAGAAAATGAAGGTGATGATAGTGATTATAATGATGATGATCATCATCACCACCATGATGATGATGATGATAACGTGGTGATGATGATGATGATGATGATGATGATGATGATGATGGAAATTATGATGACAAGGATGAGGACAAATAAGACAGCCATTATTGATGACAACAATGATGGTTGTGATGATGATCAATTGGTGATGATACTGTTAATAACTGATGTTGATTATTGCTAAGAAGAATGGTTATAATTATGATCATGGTCTGATGATGTCAACCAACATTGATATAATTCTTAATAATGAGTAACATACCAATCATTTCACAGAATTCACCAAAATAACCAGCAGTACAGTAACACTGACCAAAGCTGCAAGTTCCACCATTCTGGCAGGTTTCGGGACAATGGACCACTAGAAATTAAATAATCACAATAATTGATCAATCAATCAATCAATCAAGTAATGAAGTAAACAATCAATCATCCATATTTGTAAAATTCATATTCACATTAAATTTATAGTTGCTTGATATGGCAAAACAAAACTTACAGAAGGCAAAATATTTTAAAAACTACAGAAGAAAAGGAAAAATGAAAAAGAAGATACAAAATAATATTAATACTGTACCAAAAAAAAGTCAATGAATGAATAGAGAAAAAAAATAAGGTAAAAAAGCATTGAAAATAATGAAATATTTTGGTTTTTAAAGAAGTACACTAAGTAGTAAATGCCAAATAAAACTTGTGCTTGCCATTCTGACAAATTCATTACCTCTCCTTTGACAAGAAATTCCGACATAGCTTGCACGGCAACGACAGATGGCATTCACACACTGCCCTCCATTCTCACACGGGAACCGGCACTCTGGAATAAACATAGATACATTTATTAAAAGTATTTAATATAGTCAGAATCTATGTACAGTTATTATTGTATACTGTTACTGATATCGGATATATTCTATCAATTACTTACCAGATATTTGACACCTCGACCCAGCAAAGCCAGGTGGACAGATGCACTCGCTGTTATTACACTGACCACCATTAAAGCAACCGTTGCCGCAACCAGATACTGGGAGAAGATGCGAAACAATATTTGAGTGCTCTTTCTGTAGTGTACTTTAAATGTAGAAGGTAAAGGTAGTCCCGTATTGTTATTGAACGTAGGGGGAAGGATCTATATTTTACTTATTTATTTATTTAAAGCCATATTCAAGGAGGGTAACACATACAGAAAAGCTGATCATTTGGGGCCCTCACATACATTAAAAAAAACAATAAAAAATGATAAAAACTATGGAACAGAAGCTTATTGTATCAAGGCATTGTGTGGTAGTTTGTGCCACATATTTAACCACTCCAGTATATTTCAACCAGGTACCCATTTACGCTCCTGGGTGGAAAAAGACATTGCCCAAAGACACAAACAAATTGCACAGTGAAGGTTCGAACCCCACCTTGAGGTTGGAAAACCGAAACACTACCACTGTGCCAACTGCTCCTTGTACTTTATGCAAATTGCTTGAATAGCTTACCTCTGAGGTCTACCTTTAGTGTTGCCTGCACATTGCCAGATATGCACTGGTAGAATCCATCATCACTCAATTCTACTACGTTAATGACTAGATTACTAATGCTTGTTGATTTTTCTTCCACATGGACTCGCTGAAATGATCCTGAAATTTAAATGAGGCACTGATAGTTTTTGAAATATTTCTATTATTTATCACTAAGGCAAGCCACATATACTAAGGATTATTAATTGTGTACTACTTTGTTGTGAATAGTCCTTTGTGCACGGGCTCTCACAGTTCATAAAAAAATAATTCTGCAACTTAACAAGAATTCTTGACATGAACATACACCTTAACCACAAAGCAACTGCCCAACTTAAATCTCTTAAACCTTTTTGTTAGTAGGTAATACCCATAAAACGTCCTAGCTTATTGCTCTAGACCAAGGAAGTTTGGAAATTGAGACATGAAGATTTATTATACTGGCAGTGGCTATTGTTACGCCAGATTAATTTATATTGGATGTTATTCTATGGACTGACAGCATTAGGACAATACAATAAAAATTAAGATTTTGTTAATTTTCTTTTTTTTTTAAATAGCCAGTAATGACTATATTATTAGTATTTTGTTTGAAAAGTTGAAGAGTTTAGTAACTGGTAAAGACTTGAGGTGGAAGCTAATTCATAGAGACAGAAATTATATTTGCCAATCAGGGAATAACATTTTCCTTCTTGTAAGAATCAGGTGCTGGTAGATGAGAATAAGAGTGAAAAATCAATACCTGCTGAATCAACAAGGATTTCGCTGCCATCTGGTGCAATCCATTTGGGAGGGTCTGGAGACAGTGTCTCATTAGCGATGCATGACCACTCCATCAACTTGCCCACTCCTTGCTCCTCCGACACACGTCTTATCAGGATGCCCATTGGCAGAATGCTCTCACATGTTGGACCGGCAAAACCAGATGGACACATACACTGGCTATCAATGCAGTAGCCTCCATTCATGCATGGTATGGGGCATACTATGTTAAATAACAAATCTTAGTTAATTTTCAACAACAAAATATTTCATGTTTTATTATTGAGCCACTATTATCAGGAATGATATTGTTAGTCTAAAAGTGAGATAACTGAATAAACCAAAAATTTTAATCTACTGTAAAGAAATACCCCTAAATATAATAGAACAGCTCTCCCAGCATGCCATACATCATATACCAAGAAATCTCCCTCATTTCCTTTACCCTTTGAGGGGTGTTACTTTCGGAATGTATACTTGTAAATGTGCCATAACAGTTTTTATCTATTGGCTCTGTTTTTATTTAAAATGTATAAACAGGCTTGTACTGATGGTCACTGATCAAGTTAACTACAGATAAAAATGTAAGAAATAAAACAGTTTTTCATAGAGTATGATACTGATTGGCATTAACAATCATGCACCAACATTTTTTATAACTCGAAAGATATTGACAAGCGACAAAGCGATGTTGGTAGAAAATATACATGCGTCGTTTTCGAAGACTTCATGATGCAACAGGGAAATAAAATAAGAACAAATATAGACAACAAGAAATAATAATAAATGTTGAAACAAAATCATACAGCAATACTATAGGACACATATTTCAATGTACAGTAGTAACAGAATACATGCAAAAACTTGCAAAAAAGACATAATTCAAATAATAATATGCTGAACAAATGCATTAGCATTTTCTCTTAAAATAATAAGTTCAAATGGAAACAATAGGTTTTAATAGAATAAAGTAAGAATCATATCCATTCATTGGCTTTGCCATGCAATAAAAACAAGGTCTATCAACTTATTGTGTATTCAAGTCATATGCAAATTTTGTTTATGCAAATTGTGTATATGCAAAGTACCTGCACTTCGTTTGCCTATTGATCTGACGTCTGTAGAGTTAATTGCATGTTTGACAAATATTATTATTATGTAAATATTGATAATTTGCTCTTAAATCATTTGTCATATATCATATTTTATATTTATCACAAGCAAAATATTCACAAAAATTTAAAAGTAAAACATTAAACATCAACTATGAAATTGTGCATACTGAAACTTTTATGCAAATGACGAACTGGAACACATCATTTTTTCCATTATATGAATATTCATTCATACACACATGGAGACAATGGTTATCAAATGTTACCTTCAATTTCACATTGTGAACCACTAAAGCCTTCTGGACATTCACATACACCTTGGACACACTGACCACCATTCTCACAAGGCAGTGTGCATTGCAGTTCTGTAAAATAAACATTGAAAAAATTTATCTGGATCCAATATATACAGTATATGTATATAATATATGTACAGTGAACCTTCCAATTGAAGAACCCGTCCAATTCGAGAAAGCTTCCTCTAAGCACAAAATAACAATCTTCAATCTTTTAACCAAAACCAACACTCTAATTGGAGACCACCCTAAATTTCTAGGTCCCAAAGTGGCCTGGAATTGGAGGGCAAACTGCAATGCATTTTACTTCAATTTTTGAATCAATCGAAAAAGAAAACAGAATTGAAGCACAACATCTTTAGAATTATATTCAATTCGCAAATGCTCATGTGCACTTTAAAGAACCCAGTACATCTTTCGAGATGAGTAGGGGGTTACCCCGGTGTACTGGTTCATTCGGCCCCTGTCGTGGACAGATGAAAGTGCGCCGGTTTACTGGCTGCTAAAGACATGAAGTGACCCTTAGGGGAGGAGAAAGTTATTGTAAAGTGCAACATCTAGTCCCGAGCGCATAGAGACCATGTATTATGTGCTATATAAGTCTCCAACCATTACCATTACCATTCTTTATGAGCTCTTTAGTTTCGAAATGACAGTCTTATATAGAAAGAATCAAGCATGTAATTATAAAATTATGAAATAACATTTTAAGTTTTAGATGAAAGATGATAAATAATTAAAAATGCAGTGTTTTCAAATTTTTAAGTTCATTATATTATTTAAACACGGGTGTCTATCTTTAATGCATGGAATTCCATGGCCTTTTAGAAAATAATCTTGATGATATAATTAATTTTTGGTATGCTAAAATACATATATAATAATTATGAATACTTATAGTCTCACCTGCTATATCCAAGGTGAAAACTGTGCTGAGTTCCTTTGCAAAACATCGATACATTCCTGCATCCTCTTTTGTAACTCCTTTCATAATGAGTCGAGTTGACACGGCATTCGTTCTTACAATGTAAACACGGTCGTTGCTACCAGCTATCAGAAAGAAACACTATATAAATATGATTGCTAACAGAGAAGGGGAAAGGCAAGTTTGTGAATCCATTGTTTACCACTAACACTGAACAGAAATTCAGTGCCTAATTTTAGTCCAAATTTATAATTTAAGGTGTTAAAACACACTACCTCTCTTTAATGCATAAATGTTTTCTCCGTTAGGGTATCTCCAGCTGGGTCTCTTGGGCGCGCCCCTTCCGCGTGTCTGGCAAAGAACAACGATATCATCTCCACCACTTGGATTACTAGTGATGTTTGGTACTAAAGAGATGGAAGTACTTCCAACGGCTGAAAGAGTGAAAAAAATAAATGTCAACAATACGTTGATTGTGACTATAATGATTAAAAATCTTACTCTCTTCCAACTAATTTAGCCTCTTTGTCATTATCGCCATCATAATCAGTAGAATCAACAGCAACAGGTGCATCAACAAACAGCAGCGCTGACTAACAAATCATTTAAGAATGAAATAGTTGCGAAACTTACTCAATTTCTGACAGAAACTATCAGAATAGTCGCCGACACATCGGCAGACACCATCTTCACACGTCCCGCCATTAGTGCATGCGATATCACACGGACGTTCTACATTAAAAACAAAAGAAAAAAAAACGATAAACTACTTGAATATATGAAGTAGAATAGGAAAAAGATTATGTAATCAACAAGCTCCACAATACATACGTTTGCATTTTGTGCTGGATCCACCAAAATCTTTAAAATCTGATTTTGATTTATTTTTTTGCGAAAATACATATTCTCCCAAAGGAGCCTAAATTATGTGTATAATGTATAAAAACAGTAATTTTCAAGCTTTACTTAATCCTACTTCAGATATTAGACCAGTCGTTATCTAATACTTTTGTATATATCAGTAAAGCACCCTCACCTTGTAAATCGACTACCAATGTGCTGTTGAGTGATCCACTCTCGCATGTGTACGTGCCCGAATCTCCTGTATTTACGTTCTGTATCACAAGACGACTTACAGTTGGCGCCATTGCTTCAACATAAACACGATCTTCACCTCCTGAAAGTAAAAACATTTCCATACCAATCATAGATGAATACCGTAAAACCTTGAATAGCCCAATGGTCATAATCCCGAGAAAAAGCCCATCTCGAATGGAAGTCCCTTCTTTAGTTTGCAAATGTAGCCTCGAAAGGAAGCCCATTTTGAAAAGAAGCTCATGGGCTTCTTTTCAAAATAGCAGGGTATAATACAACTGAATATAAATAAACAACTACCACAATAAGATGACTGCTCCGCATAACTTTTAATTTTCGACTCCCAGAATATATTCTAGAGGGCGTTGTCATGATCAATATATTAC